TATATATATATATATATAAGCACAAAAAGAAAGCACACTACTTCCCAGTTATACAGTAAAACAGGGGTGCCCAAACTCGGTCCTGGAGGGCCAGTGTCCTGCAGAGTTTAGCTCCAACTTTACTTGCCTGGAAGTTTCTAGTATGACTAGTAAGAGCTTGATTAGCTGGTTCAGGTGTGTTTAATTGGGGTTGGAGCTAAACTCTGCAGGACAGTGGCCCTCCAGGACTGAGTTTGGGCACCCCTGCAGTAAAACATATATGGAGTTTGTCTCCCCCTACAGGATATTACAAATGCATATTTTGCATTTTGTTCCTGCATCTATAATAATTATAATACGTGAAATATTTCAGCATCAGATGTTTCAGTTGATATTTTACATATTCCAAATATGATCATTATAATATCATAAATTATATTATAAATATAAATGTATGATGGTAAGTATAATAAAGTCTTTTTTAAGACTCGTATTTCTAAGAAGTAAAAACAATTAAAATATATATATATAAAAAAAGGATAACAAAATAGGATTTTAGGGTTAGGAAAAATTATATAAATATAATAAAATATAAACAATTATATAAAGATAAATGTAGTAAAATAATGATAAATATATAAAACTTTATATTTAATATAAATGCAATAAATATTATTGCATAATAATGAATAATAATAAATTTTAGAAATAGAATAATATAATAAAAAATAAAAGATGTTATGTTATGATTATATTATTATAGTGTATATATATATATATATCAGAAAATATAATATAATAAAAATAAAATTTGTATTACTAAGGGGCAAAATAATTATCTTATATTTATACAAAAATGTATATAAGAATGTATATTTCTAAGAGTAAAAACATTTTATATATAATGCAAAAATGAATTTAAAAAAAGTTAGTAAAAGATTTGAATATCTATTTGAGGCAAAACTAATTATTTAACAAAGAAAGTATATTTATAGGCTCATAAACATTTCCATTCCTAAGTGTTTCTGCCAGTATTGTTAAGTGTTTGTTCATACCTGTGTGCCATGCTGCCTTTTTTAATGTCAGATATGATAAGAGGCTCTCCTGGTTTCTTACTGGCTGTAGAAAGATGGGAAAACACATCAAGAGTACAGTGTTTCAGCATATCACACACACACACACACACACACACACACAAGTTTCAAGCAAAAATGGAAACTCTTATCTGGATCCAGCATGAGCGTGAGCCAGACGTTCAGAGAGAATATTTTGTGCAGATGGAATAAAACATTTTAAGAGATTCAATAACAAGTGTAAAAACTCCCAGCATCCAGTGGCAGAGTGTCTCTCATAAGTGTTCTATTTAAGTGTCTTAATATACTATTAATATATTAAGTGCATGTGTATATATATATATTAGTGCTGTCAATCGATAAAAAATTTAATTAAATTAATCGCACATTTTTCTGAAATTAATCGCGATTAATCCAACCTAACATTAAATTAAACATTAATTTAATTAAACATTAAATATACTTTTATATTGCAATAATTTCACATTCAATCTTCAAATTAATGTACAAACAACACAAAAACAGTATATTTTTTTATATGTTTAATGGCATCTTTTTTTTATGACTGAAGACCAGTATCAATGATACCAATACTGATTTCTCTATAAAATTCCACTCGCCCCCCCACCCCATCGACACCCTCTACTAATGAACTGACGAGTTGAACCGGGTGTGTTAGATGAGGGAGACAGTGCTGGGCTGCTCCACGACAGTTTTGAAAACCATTTCAGAGACATGTTCTTAAATGTGACTCATATAAAATATATTACATGCATGCACAGTTTTAAGGCAGCTTTAATCACCTTTTTGGTAACTTCATGACTTAACTGACCACGACACTGCATGCACATAGTTTATTTCGCTCTTTGATATGAAGAGCACAGTACCATTTCTGCACTCGTTTAACTCGCGACTGGTGCTGAAGTGAAGTGGAACACGCGTCTGAAACGTCTCCCATTCTCAGTCGTTCTGCGACTGAATAAATGCACAGGAGAAGTGACAGAAGCAGCAGTTGTGAGTGTAAAATTGAGAATATTACTATTTTTGTGTCACGGATTGTAGTTTTAAGAGGTTATCAGGCGATAATGTACTTGTTTATAGCTGAAATGTACAGTTTGTTAATAAAGATAACGTCTATTTGAAAATTTGTTTTGAAGTTTTCGGAGCCGTGAGCTCCAGATCGTCTGCGCTCATGAACCCGCCCGGAGAGCGCCTCACCTCGGCCAGATCTTCTGGAATTTACCGCTGGCTCTGATGTCTCTGTAGTGGTTAAACATGAGATGTAATTCGTTTTGGGTAAATCTAACAGACAGTCTTTGGTCTCATTAATCTATTATTTGTTCCAGAGAAGATAGTTTTGGCAAAATCTCATGTTTATGTAAATTCAATGCTGTATATCAGAGCGCTGCCTTTGTGCTTTTGACTGAATTGCCTAGCAACTTTTTTGAAGGCCGTTGTTGTTTATTATTAAATATTATTATTCAATAAATAATATTTTATATAATTAATAGTATTTAATAAGAAAGGTATAATCAACGGCTAGCTGTGCATTAAAGGATTTTAAATGCATGACGTGGAGGCAAAGAACCGCCCGACGCGAAGCACGGCTAGCTGTTGATTATCCCACTTATTCCATGGTCATTTACCAAGTTATAGACAAGTTAAAACTAGTATTGCTCTTTGCAGCACAATATTTGACTGAATATGTAAAAATGACAGTTATTTTCGTCAGTTACGGCACGTTAGCGCTAGCATTCTGCCCGCTTCAATTCAGACACTGAAATAGTGCGGTAAGATCATATTTATTTGAATGAATAATAGCATTTATTTCATTTAATTATCGAGAGAGAAAGAAAGAAAGAAAGAAAGGACAGTTGTGTGTGCATTACCTGCATCTGCGCGTCTCTCTCTACAAACAACTAATTAGGCTACTTCAAAAACAGCAATTTTACACCTCGTTGCTGAGGAATATAATGTAGCGATCAAGTATCTAGGCTATTTTATTCATATAAATCGCGGGGAAGTGCTGACACAAAGTTTATGTGCGATCTGCGATCTCCAACTCTCGTTCTGTGTGTGTACGAGTAATGTGTGTTGGTTAGTGTGCATCAATTAAAGCAGCGCATTAATATAGAACGGTGATTAAACTGACTTGGAACTACCTGTGCATTAAACGGTTTTACTGCATACCTGCCAGCCAATCAGAATCCAGTATTCAGACAGACCATGGAATAAGGCTGTATATCGGCCTGCTCCACGACAGTTTTGAAAACCATTTCAGAGACATGTTCTTAAATGTGACTCATATAAAATATATTACATGCATGCACAGTTTTAAGGCAGCTTTAATCACCTTTTTGGTAACTTCATGACTTAACTGACCACGACACTGCATGCACATAGTTTATTTCGCTCTTTGATATGAAGAGCACAGTACCATTTCTGCACTCGTTTAACTCGCGACTGGTGCTGAAGTGAAGTGGAACACGCGTCTGAAACGTCTCCCATTCTCAGTCGTTCTGCGACTGAATAAATGCACAGGAGAAGTGACAGAAGCAGCAGTTGTGAGTGTAAAATTGAGAATATTACTATTTTTGTGTCACGGATTGTAGTTTTAAGAGGTTATCAGGCGATAATGTACTTGTTTATAGCTGAAATGTACAGTTTGTTAATAAAGATAACGTCTATTTGAAAATTTGTTTTGAAGTTTTCGGAGCCGTGAGCTCCAGATCGTCTGCGCTCATGAACCCGCCCGGAGAGCGCCTCACCTCGGCCAGATCTTCTGGAATTTACCGCTGGCTCTGATGTCTCTGTAGTGGTTAAACATGAGATGTAATTCGTTTTGGGTAAATCTAACAGACAGTCTTTGGTCTCATTAATCTATTATTTGTTCCAGAGAAGATAGTTTTGGCAAAATCTCATGTTTATGTAAATTCAATGCTGTATATCAGAGCGCTGCCTTTGTGCTTTTGACTGAATTGCCTAGCAACTTTTTTGAAGGCCGTTGTTGTTTATTATTAAATATTATTATTCAATAAATAATATTTTATATAATTAATAGTATTTAATAAGAAAGGTATAATCAACGGCTAGCTGTGCATTAAAGGATTTTAAATGCATGACGTGGAGGCAAAGAACCGCCCGACGCGAAGCACGGCTAGCTGTTGATTATCCCACTTATTCCATGGTCATTTACCAAGTTATAGACAAGTTAAAACTAGTATTGCTCTTTGCAGCACAATATTTGACTGAATATGTAAAAATGACAGTTATTTTCGTCAGTTACGGCACGTTAGCGCTAGCATTCTGCCCGCTTCAATTCAGACACTGAAATAGTGCGGTAAGATCATATTTATTTGAATGAATAATAGCATTTATTTCATTTAATTATCGAGAGAGAAAGAAAGAAAGAAAGAAAGGACAGTTGTGTGTGCATTACCTGCATCTGCGCGTCTCTCTCTACAAACAACTAATTAGGCTACTTCAAAAACAGCAATTTTACACCTCGTTGCTGAGGAATATAATGTAGCGATCAAGTATCTAGGCTATTTTATTCATATAAATCGCGGGGAAGTGCTGACACAAAGTTTATGTGCGATCTGCGATCTCCAACTCTCGTTCTGTGTGTGTACGAGTAATGTGTGTTGGTTAGTGTGCATCAATTAAAGCAGCGCATTAATATAGAACGGTGATTAAACTGACTTGGAACTACCTGTGCATTAAACGGTTTTACTGCATACCTGCCAGCCAATCAGAATCCAGTATTCAGAGATCTGCGATCTCCAACTCTCGTTCTGTGTGTGTACGAGTAATGTGTGTTGGTTAGTGTGCATCAATTAAAGCAGCGCATTAATATAGAACGGTGATTAAACTGACTTGGAACTACCTTTAAACGGTTTTACTGCATCCCTGCCAGCCAATCAGAATCCAGTATTCAGACAGACCATGGAATAAGGCTGTATATCGGCACGCTGTGATTACCTACGGCTGAATCACAGCCGTGCCGATATACAGCCATATCTCATATCTATGAGTGTGATATTGCTTATATATATATATATATATATATATATAAACAGTTGAGCTTTGTTGTTCCTGCAGGAGATTCAGTTCAAATCGGATTTCAACTCTTTTCTTCGCCTCAAAGTTTCTCATACACATTACTATACACCAAGCACAGCATTTTAACATGTTTCAGACATCTGAAGGATAAGATAAGAATTGCGTTAAAACACTCAAGCAGTGACTCTGACAGAAATGTTCAAGAGTCTTTTCACTGATGGATGGAGTGAATGTGGTACAAATGCAAAGCCTGTGATTCAAATCAGCCCTCATGCAAGTATAATACAAGTTTAATGGCCCATGATCCCTCAGTGTTTATGCCGTAAAGAAGCTTTAGAGGAACGTCAGATGGAAAGAAACCAGACAGACCCAAGAGCTCATAAACAAGCCCACGGAAAGCCTGCGAGAGCCGCGTAAACACTTCCTCAGAAAAATGAGGCTCTGTTGATCAGGGCTAATGTAACTCTATGACACGCACGAGATGGGACGCCCCGCATCGGGTGGTCTGGATACGGACATGCTCCATCAGGAAAACCCATACGCAGATGTGTTTAATGACCGGAGTGGATGTCAAAACATTTGTGTGGGTTTATTTTCCGTGCGTTTGGGGATATAAAGTTTAACTGCATCTTGGCGAGTTTGAGAAGCGAAACCGAGAATGGTAAAATAGGCCAGGGAGAGAGGGATCTTAAAATCTCCCCCAAAAAAGATTCAGAGGGAATGGCTTAAATGTTTTTTGGGATGATAACAGATCAGGAAAGCAACAGGAAAAACCCTGCAGTTTTTACAATACGTGATATGACTTTACAAAAATAAATGCAAATTAGTAAATTAAAAAGTGAGCTTGCATAAATTTAACTTAAATGACACAAGCCATCAATACTGTAACACTTTGCTTATATTACTGTTACTAATTTATTTATCTTGCTCATTTATATTATAGTATTTTTTCTTATATATTATATTAAATATATTTAAACAGTTATTTTAAATTGTAATATTGTTTGATAATATTACTGTTTTTACTGTATTTTTAATTAAGCAAATGCAGCCTTGGTGAGCATAAGAGACTTTCAAAAATATTAAAACAATTATTTTTCCAAACTTTTGATCAGCAGTGTGTATGCATATTATTATTATTATTGTTGTTATTATTATTATTTATTTATTTATTTTAGATTTTTTTTTTTTATTTATGTATTTATTTTTACATTATTTTTAAGATATATTTGTAAATATTACAATAATACAAGATTATCTTGCATACCTTTAATCTATTACCACAAATTATTGTTTGGCTATAATTATGATTAATGAATCAGAGCAAAAAATTATAATTTGCAAAGTCAAAGTGTTTTGCAGGTTAAAGTCATTTGCAGGTTATTATGAGAAAGATAACCAAAAGTTGTGTGCAGTTCTAAGTGGGTAGTTCGACTTCCAGCCCAAACACCACAAATGTCACACACTGCCACAGTACAACACAAATCAGATCACTCGCTTCAAGCAACAACAATCTCACACAAGGAATGACTCACGCACTGAGCTACAAAAACAAACAGAAACTGACAATTACAAATCTGAACAAAATTACGGAAAGTCAATTTAGGGTCTTATCCAGTGGCAGCAAATACAGTAAAATGTTGAGTTTGGCTCCATTGAGGCTTTTGTTTTTGTTGGGTTTGCTGACATGTCTTTGGAAAGAGTGTGTGATTGTATCAACTTAGTCTCAGATGTTTAAGATAAAAATAAAAAGAATCTGAAATAAAAAGAGACCCATGAGACCGCTGTTGACATACAGTAAGAAGAGCTATAGTTAGCAAAATGCTAGCCAAATGTTAGCAAAACAGCTGAAATGGCACCTTTGTAGCAATTTAGTTTCCTACAATTTCTTCGGACAAATACAAAAAGACCCATGAGAAAATTGTTGACATACAGTAAGAGTTTAGAGCTATGAAAGGAATGTGGATAACATTAGTAAAACTAAACCAAATTTGATGAGAAATGTTTGACTTAATAATACACTGTAAAAAAAAACAACTGTTATTTTACAGAATTTTACTATTTTATTTTACAGTTTTTTTCATGTATTTTTGAAATACAGTTAAAAATTTTACAATTACAGAAATAGAATGTACATTTACAAATCCAGTGTAAAATCACATAAAAAAAATGTCAATGTACATAACACCCCAAAAAAATATTTTTTGAAGATTTTTTTCCACATAACACCAATTTATCGGCGCGCGCTCTCTCTCTCTCTCTCTCTCTCTCTCTCTATATATATATATGTATATATAGCATTAATAATATAATATTTCATAAAATTAGTTGCGACAGTATCGATCCAAGCAAAAAGCAGTGCATGCATGTCATTCCACTCACAAATTACGCCTTGGATTCACTTTATTTGTCTCAAATCAGCACAGATTTTTCTTCTGCCAGCTTACTCTAAGCAGAGTCTCAGTAACTCGTGAACTAAGCAGTTATACTTAACTGAAGTGAACTGATTGTTATACTTCAGTTATGAACAAACTGTTGCTATACTGTTGTAGTTGTGCGATAATCTTTATACTGGTATATTGTTGCAGTTTTGAACAAAGAATATTAGTAAATTGCAGTTCTGAACAAACTATATTGGTATATTCTTGCAGTTAAGATGGAATATTCTTGCAGGTAGGTGAATAAGAGATTAAATCACTGTTTTGCACTTACGGCTGATTATTGGAATTAAAGAAGTGTTCAACCTTAATGATAATTTCAGGTTTTTACTTAACTTTCCACAGTATTTAAGTAAAGCTCCTTATTGAACATTAAAAGCTGAAGAAAATACAGAAAATCTCATGTAAAATGACAGCAAAACACTGTATTTTTGAATTACGGACAATTACTGTTATTTAATGTGCCCGTTATTTTACACTAATTTTACAGTTTTTTTACGGGATTTTTTTTTACAGTGTATAGTAAGCAAAATGTTAGCAAAAATTAGTATCAACTAGATGTTTCTCCTTAAAGTCATTTGGTCAAATAAAAAGAAACTCAAATGAGACTGTTGACATACAGTAAAGGTTTAGAGCTATAAAATGAATGTGGATAGCATAGGGCAGATAATTTGGTCTATGAAGAATTTGACCAGAAATGTTGGCGTTCGTATTGAGATTTTTGACTTTTGATTGAAATCTTTGGTATCTTGGCAAGCGCACTTTGAGGCATTATTGAGAGCTCTTGTGAAACTCTAGATGTGACATGAAATTACTGGTGGCTTTTTCTCAGGAAAAAAAAAAATCTGAGATGCATGAGACCCAAATTAGGATCCATCTGCTCTCCATTTAATCTCATTGCTGTCTAGGAAAAAGCATTTGAGATGTTAAAGAGATTCTTTTTTTTCATTTGTCTTTCCAGCAGACTGAGTTTCATTTTGGAGACCCTTCCTAAACATTACCCTCCCTTTAAGAGCACAAAGTGTGACAAAGAAACATTTCAACCTCTTAAATAAAAAAATGTAAGTCTCTTTCTTAAACATCACTGATAAAAGGCATGATTTTTTTGCAGTGTGAGTTTCCTGCTGAGTGTTGACCCAGATTCGGAGGTAGTATCACATCCAGCTTGATCATTTTCAAGTGTCTCTCTCCAAGTCAGTGTACGCTGACTCTGTCATAAGGCATACATTTAAAAAATACTGATATCGTTACAAGATCTGTATGCAGTTTTTAATGGAATATCTGTCCATTGTGGCACCTTATAGTGTTTATATGTGCTTGAGTGAGCATGGATGGCTGTGTTTTGTGTACACGGTTGAGTTAATATTTGGGACGTACCTTTCGGCCGAGCTGTCCGGTTCTATGAAGCGGATAAGAGGGGGTGCAGAGAGGGTCTCTGTCGCAAATATTCCACCTTGCAGCTGAACCCCAAACCCATTTAGAGGGTCTCCTCTCAGAGTGACCTCACTGGACTCGGTGTGGACGATCTGACCACCAGGGCCCACAGAACTTGAGGCTAAAGACACAGCTAAACAGAGAGAGAAAACACCACAGAAATATCATAAATGCATACAACATTAAGGGGCTGTTCACAAAGAATGTGTTTTTTGTTTGTTTGTTTTGAACTCCACATCATGTGTGAGATGCTGCAAAAGACACAAGATGTGAGGGCAACAGTCAAACAAATTCTGTGTGAATGGTCCCTAAAAGTGAAACTTTTTTTTCCAAAACCTATATAAAAACGTGAACGTGAAACGTTATGATAGATAAAAACTAATAAAATCAATTTAATGAAAAGTAGACTATTTACTCAATATTTGTGTTCACTGTGTTTTTGTGATAGGGCTAAGAGTATTGTGCTGTTAGCGTAGTAACATGCTAACATCCAACTCTACTAAAAGTTTAACTGATAGATAAAAATAGATGTGTATGTGCTATGTGTTACCGTCTCTGTCATCTAACCCTGTCATGTGCTGGCAAAGGACCAGCAAATGGACCAGCATAAACCAGCAAAGGACCAGTTTAAACCAGCAAAGGACCAGCATAAACCAGCTTAAACCAGCATCCCAGCGTCAAAACATACCTAACCAGCATATGCTGGTTTTTTCAACAGGGATTTAAAAGCTGCTTACAGCATGTAGATGTTTACAAATCAGTCACTTATGAGATGTCATGAAATGTAATAATTTGCTTTTAGACCATGTCAAACAGAAAACCCATCCAGTCACCTACAGGAGCTTTTGTGCTCTTTTTTCCTTTGTCGTCTCTTTAGCATGGAGTTCCGTGGGCTCATGGGAGGAGCAGCCCGGGGCAGCGTGCTGGAACCCTGGCTGGTCATGCCTGATGTGGTTGTGGACCCAGGAGAGAAGTTAGTGCAGACTACCGCTAGAGAGAACAGAGGAAAGGAGAGAGAAAGTCAGGCGGTGTAGCTGCATTTAAAAACATCAAATCAAAGAGATGGAAATGGTCCAAGAGACTGAGCGGCTCACTGCAGGTTAATAATCCATATTCTATTGGTTCCTTGCTAGTCTTTGCAGATCTATCCACTAAGCATTTGTTATTTAAGGGGACGTTATATTGGATTTGGAGGCAACCGCTGGGAGTTGGATGTCTGGGTTAAGAACAATATTCCATATTAACGTAATGCTATTTTACATGTAAATGAAGATGGATGACTTCAACTAGAGAGGTAGATTATCTGAAGAAAATGGGACTTGGTCAGTAAAAATGGCATTTTGGTGCAGGAAACCCAGGCTAAATAAATGCTAATAAAAGTGGGGTCATATTAGTGATACTTATTATACTGTAGTGATATATGACGCACAGGTTATAAAGAAGCCACATTCAAACCAAGAATCTTTCTATTGGCCAGTGCAGTAAATTCGCGTGAACATCTTGAACACGAGAGAAATATGCGAGGTGAACTTTTCCACTTTCATGCAGAACTCTCAATTGTGTGGACTAACTGCTTCTTTAGATGAGGATTTTATTTCTCATAATTGCAACATTTTTTGTAATTAAGATTTTTTTCTAATTTTATTGCAAATGTATGTGACCAACTAGAACATGAACGAAATCTGCAAGGAGATTTTTGCCCTCATGCAAAACTTGCAATGACTGGTCCATGAAATGTCACGCAAATGTATGTGACAAACTCTACACAAACCAAATCTGTGAAGGAAACTTTTTTTTGCCTTAATGAGAAACTCCCAACTGTGCGGACTCCCATTTAAATGACTATATAATCGTTCACAACATTTTGTGTGAATTCGCAATACCAACTTGAACACAAGAAAAATATGTAAGGGAAACTTCTTTGCCCTCATGTCAAACTCTCAATCGAACTCCTATTTGAACGACTTAATATCATCTGTGAAATTTTGTGTGACCAACTGGAAGCACAAGTGCAATTTACAAAGCAAAAAATATTTTGCCCTCACATGAAAAAATGTGCAGACTGCTATTTAATGACTGGGTATCGTCCATGAAATTTTGTGCGACCAACTTGAACACAGGCAAAATCTGCAAGGGAAACGTTTTCGCCCTCATGTTAAATCATGCAGACTCCTATTTAAATTACATTTAAATGATATCATCTGCAAAATGTATGCGAATTTGCATTATCAATGTGAACAAAATATGTGAGGAAAATGTTCTCACTTATATGTGTGTGTAGAGTCATATTTAAAATACTAAATATTGTTTGCAATATTTGTGTGAATTTGCATGACCAACATGAACACAAGCGAAATTTGGAAAACTCTTTTTGTTCTCATGCAAAACTCCCAAATATGCGTAGTCTTATTTTAATGACTGGATATCATCATCGACAATTTGCTCAAATTTTTACAATCAACTTAAAAAACGAACACAATCTACATGAGGAACATTTTCTTCCTGATGTGAAATGCCCAGTTGTGAAAACTATATATATATTTAAAAAAAAAGTCAAATCATCTTCATAAAGCATGGTGTAAAAATTATGTAATGTAGTTACATTTGCAGTAATCCTGAGAACTGGATGGGTTACTGGAAGCAGAGGTCCATGTCGACGTCTTACAGTGACCAGGATGTTGAGAATGGCAGTAGTTCACACAGGGGTCCCAGCAGTGCGGGTGGTCACTTTTCTGAACTTTCACTAAACACAGAAAATGAATTAGTAAATTGAGATATTAATTACATGATTCTCAGAATAAATATCAACAAAATGCAAAATACATATACATTTTTATATAAAATACATGCGCACACACACACTCGATGTGGCTTTAGTCAAATCATCTTCATAAAGCATGGTGTAAAAATTATGTAATGTAGTTACATTTGCAGTAATCCTGAGAACTGGATGGGTTACTGGAAGCAGAGGTCCATGTCGACGTCTTACAGTGGCCAGGATGTTGAGAATGGCAGTAGTTCACACAGGGGTCCCAGCAGTGCGGGTGGTCACTTTTCTGAACTTTCACTAAACACAGAAAATGAATTAGTAAATTGAGATATTAATTACATGATTCTCAGAATAAATATCAACAAAATGCAAAATACATATACATTTTTATATAAAATACATGCGCACACACACACACTCGATGTGGCTTTCTCTCTATATTGTTCACATTAGTCCTCATTTAAACACTGAAAATCCATCATTTGGAGCCTTGGGGGTCTGTTGAAGTCACATTCGAGTGATAATATCTGTCTCTAATACTGGTCTGTGGAAAATGATTGTGCATGCAAAACAATGAGGAAGCTCATCAACAAACAGGCTAATGAAGTCCTGCTGCTAGAGGCAGGCCGTATAATTGAGTGCCTCGGTGTGCGGGTATGTGCTTGTTCTCATTTGTATCTCCAAGCACTCATAATGCAGTAGGTCTGATAGGAGCAGAAGACTGAATTTAGAAGAGAGTAAAATTAATTGAATAAATTGAACAAGCACACTTGAAACAAGTAATTTATTACAGGGCAGTGGTTCGCTACTGGTTTCGCTATGCAAGGTCAAAATTGTTTATCATGCAAGAGTAATAGAAAAACAAATATGAAATCTATTAATATTACCATGAACTGCAACATTATTAACAAGACATAGGTTTAATATTATAAGACTTTGTCTCACAAATGCAATACAAAACTGTAATTTTATATCTCATTTCTTGTAATTGAGACTTTTATTCACGTAACTGGGTGTTTTTTTCTCATAATTGGGAATTTTATTTATTTATTTTGTCGTAATTTGCAACTATTTTGTATCTGTGACTGTATTTGCTGTAATTGCAACTTCATCTTGTGGCTGACTTCATTTGTCATAATGACATCTTTGCCACTACAGTATCTTGTAAGTGTGGCTTAATTTCTCATAAATAAGACTATTTATTTTGATTGCAACTATCTCATATTTGTGACATCATTTCTTGTAACTGCAACTATTTTGTAACAGTGACTACATTTCTTGTAATTGCCACTTTATTTAATTTATTGAAACGGTGAATTAATTTCTTAATTAATGTAATTGCAACTACAGTATCTTGTAGCTGTGGCTTTGTTCTCATTATTAATGCATTTATTTAGTTTTTTTTTTCATTGTAATTGCGTTTTTATTATAACTGTTATATTTCTTGTAATTGCGACTAAGTATTTTGTCATGCTCATAATTGCAACTATCTCATTGCTCATAATTTCTCATAATAGCGACTATATCTCATAACTTCATTATTTCTCATAATTGCAACACGGTTTCTCATAATTCTGAAATTATTTCTCATAATTACAACCATCTCATAATTACAACATTATTTATGACAATTGCAACATTATTTCTCATAATTGCGACTTTATTTCTCAATTGTGGCTACATCTCATTTAAATATGATTTAAATCTCAATTCTCGTAACGACCTCTTAATTTCTTATAATTACGGGTTTTATATCTAACCATTGTGATTTTAGATCTCATACATAATTGTCATTTCTCACAACTGCATTTAAATTTTTTGTAACGTGTGTCTATTCTTATTCTAATATATCATCTTTAATTTTACAATCTTTTTATTTGCTTATCTGAATCAAAAACATATTTCTATAAAATACATAAAACTGTATACATAAAAATACATAAAACACAAAGTCTCTACAGATAATAATAAAGATGTTTGAACTTATTACTGGAACTAACAAGCTTAGCATATAAGACAGATGCAATTCTTTACCTTGCTGGAAAACCCTCAAGCTTGTAGCTAGTTTCTAGCTGGTCCAAGTTAGTCATTAGCTGGTTGACCAGCTACCACTTTCCAAAAACGGCCAATCTTAACCCTGTCTAGCTGGCAGCTGGTTGGTTGATGGTCCAAGGTGGTTTACCTGTTTAGACCATCAACAAACCAGCTGCCATGTTCCAAATTTCAAGACCAACTTGGGATTTTCCAGCAGAGTATTACTAATGTGAAACGCCCTAACTAAGTAATATAACATTCAACAACTTAGCTTTAACGTAGCTTAGCTTTACCCTCCTCCATCTCTGGAAAACCATAAGAAGATTTAAAACACTCAGAGAGTGTGTGGTTACACTTTAAGGTTTTAATGAAGTCTACTCACTACTTCTTTAATATTTGGTACATTACTAAACAAACCTTTAAACTTCTGCACATATTAGCATTCTATTAGCATTATGTTTGCATTTTTTTGCCACACAGAATGTGACAAGACGTTAAAAAATGCCACTTTCAGACAGATTTTCACAAGCCAGGTTAAATACTACTATCTGTTCGTCTGAGCACCAATGAGGCATCTTCTAACGTTTGAGTGCTAAATCCCTCTTCCTTGTGGCTTATGCTAAGCTCGTCTGCTATGGCTCTAAGAAACACAACTCTGTCTCTTGATGTAGGAATTGGGAACACCAGGAACGATGACGGTAAAGTCTCCCACACAGGCTGATGTGACGGGAGCTTAATTTGAGTAAGGAGATTACAATACTGCTTTTTTAAGACCACGTCATTTATCTAAAACACGAACTGAACCAGCAGGTGACTGACGCTAAGGTTATTAGCAGTGGTTTGGGCTAATTTGGTAATAAATTATATGCAGTTTAATTCTGTATTGCAGAATACAGACATACTATATAAATAAATAATCTGAAAAAACCTGGACTACCATCTTGCCGTGTTCCATCCAAAGTGGGATGTGCAACATGGGTCAGTGACATAAAACTATTAATGTATTCAGAAATACATTAAAAAAAAATGCATTTCCTACATAGAATGACTTTGAAAGTAAAACGACATAATCTTGTATTACTATTATTTTATTATTTAAAAAACACATGCTCTACTGTTTGAGCTATAGAAATTCTAATAAAATATTACAAATATCTGTATACAAATATATATATATATATATTAAAAATGTATGCAATGACATTTTGCCAAAATATCGTAAAAGTTTTAAAAAATATAAACAGGAAATTATGTCATAGAGATTTCTGTCGCATTTCTCATAAAGTCGCAATTATGAGAAATAAAATCTTAATCATGAGAAATAATGCTGCAGTTGTTATAACTGTAAATTAATTTATTGTAATTTTGGATACAGTATCTTGTAACTGTGACTTCATTTCTCATAAATGAGACTTTATTTCTCTTAATTGCAACTATATCTCATAATTACAACATTACTGTTATAATTGCAACTATATTTTATGATTGCAAAATTATTTCTCATAATTGCAACATTATTTCTTGTAACTGTGATTATTTTCTAACTGTGACTTCATTTCTCATAAATTATACTTTATTTCTCGTAATTGTGATTATATCACATAATTGCGTCATTGTTTCTCATAGTTTCTATAAAACAGGAAATTATGTCATAGAGAGGTAAATAAATCTATTAAAATATAAATTGACTTCTGTATGAAAAGGCAAAGTCACTTCAGGTTGTTACATGTCATGGGTTACAAAAAAACAAATTAAAAACTTTTTCCTTGAAACATATTAAAAAACTTGTGCACTTTAAAATGTGGTGTAGTAAAATTATTTTTTAAAAAGTCATTAAATGTAAACTTTTTGTTGTTTTTCAAAACCATACAAAGCCATTGTGAATACAGATATTACAATGGCACATTTAAAAACGGACTGCTGACTGCTAACTTCAAACTTGTGTAATGTAATATCAGTGTTGCTTTGGATAAAAGTGTCTACCAAATATGCAAATATATTAAAATGTACAAATTGTATTCTTCCTCACTTTAAATCCCCGGATCTCAAAGACGGCAATCCCAAATGAGCTTGTTACCAGACGTACTTTCTTTTCTTTCCCTAACAAGGTCAGCTACAACATTTGCATATATAAAATCTGAATCGAAAATGTAGGAGCCATATGGCAAAATATCAAACTCCCATTTATTTCCTGGGTGAAGTTTCTATGTATTATTGACACGGCTCCGCGAGTGGGTGTCAATTCTTGATTGAAGTCCTGCCGGGGCTGAAAGTTCACACTCGCAAATATGTTTTTCCATCATTACAGCCTTCCACCTCCTCTCTCGGGTTCTCAGCGCGGCAGGGAATGACCTATATAGTGCCATGCGATATTTCGACAGGACAGCTCAGATGCTGAAAAACTAAACTACTTTACTTGTCCATATCCATTAGGGACGTTTGTTCCTGTGCTCAAAAATCTGGGCATCAGGGCTTTAATGGCATCATAAACTCTGTTTACGATGTATGCGAGCAATGCATGGAATTCAAGAGGCCATCTTGTCGGGTTTAAAGCTTTGGTGAACATGGTGGCAACAGTGGGGCAAAAATTGGACTAGTTGGAAATTGATGGGCATCTAGGGTTCTGGATGATTGCAGAACAAGAAATAGCAAAAACGTCAAAGTAAAAACAACCATCTGAAGTTTCAATATCTTCTATAATTGAAGTTGCCCAGTCATTGAGTGCATCCATGAAGTCGTGCAACTACAGAGAATGTTTATATGCTCAATAGCTGGATTTCCACCCAAAGCTACTAATTTAACTTAAGCACAAAATTGGAATATCAGATACATCTGGAATATCAATAAACATTTGGAAATAAGCATTATACAGAAATATTTTGCATATCTACCATTATTCGCATTAACCTTTTATCACACAAGTGAACAACTATCTAAAAAAACAATCATAAAAAAACTTTTTTTTGCGAATTAAAGGATTTTCTTTTTTTTTTTGGAGATTTCTTCACTTGTTTCTGATGCGATACTTCAAAATGTGCTAATGATAATATGCTATTGGAAGTAGGATGTGCAATATAAAATCCCAAAAATGAAAATTTGCTGAAAATGCACTCACCCTCAGGCCATTTTAAGATGCAGATGCAGATACATTTTAATTCTTCGTCAGAACAGATTTTGGAGGAATATAGTATTACACCACTTGCTCAACAATGGATCCTCTGCAGTGAATGGGTGCCGTCAGAATGAGAGTCCAAACAGCTAAT